CGATTCTGACCTTCAGCAGAGAAGACCAGGTTCCTCCCTGATCTGTCACAGAACCTTTGCTGTTTTTAAGCCCCCTCAAAATTGGAGAGGAATAAAAAGATTAACTGTCACCTGCTCTGGATAATTCAGTGTAAGCTACCGTGCAGCTTTTCTACTAAAGTAACGTCCCACTGACCATTTTATAGACACTAATGTTCAGGTAAAGTCAAAATCCAAACCTATAGAAAGACATTTTGAAACTTTTTGTCATCATTTTGAACAGTGTAGTTGTACAGAACAGTGACCTCCAGTTGCATGGCTCAGAACTTAACACAGTCAGTTACGATGATATCAGTATAAAGCAACTAACAGTAGATGGTATAATGAGATGGTTTACTGCAGCCTAAATGAACCAGTTCCTCTCTGGCAGCTTCACATGACCAGACTAACTCTGGGCTGAACAATCTGCTTGTTTTGTTTCTTTGAGTTTTCCATTTGACATTTTTCTTCCTTCCCTCTTCTGTCTTTGTTTTGTGCATAACCCCGACCACATATCTCATCCCTCCCTCCTCTTTCCTCTCTCCTCACCCCCTCTGCCGCTGTAGCCTCACAGGCTGGGAAAGCTTGCCGACCAGGTAGGGAACCACAGTCGACCCCCACCACCTCCTCCACCCCACTGCTTGTCAGCACATCTCATCAGCTGGCTTCTGACCGGAGTCTTTGACGAATTGATTAGAAATAACCTAGCTGCCTGCGCAGGTTCCTGAGACAGCTGTGGCTCGCTGCTTCACGTAGGACAGCAGCTGTAGGAAGCTTGGGCTCAGTTCAGGATCAGTTCATTTCAATGCAGCTGCTTCACTGGCTGCATTCATTTCTTCCTTTTTTCTCTGCTGTCTCTCGCCCACCGAGGTGAGGTGAATTTGCTCATTTAAGACAGATCCCGTTCACTTTGGCTGTGGACAGTGTTGGGTGACAGCTGGAGTTGCCAGGAAACAGTCTGTAGCTTAACGCGGTTCACTTTTTAAATTCAGCTTTGCATGAACTCTGCACCTGTGGCACTGACTCTGATCCCTGTCTCTGGCTCTTTTTTTTATTTTTTTACCACAAACAGTGGCTCATGGGTAATGTAGTACTGTGCCACGACAAAGTTGACTGGCAAAAGATTTTTTTAAAATGAAAACTGGCAGCCAAAACATTCAAGAGTTCAGAACCTGATGAATAGAACAAAATACAGTACAGTCATATGCCTTTATTGATGCTGGGCGCTGTGGTTGAAAGTAACTCCACTTACCAAAGTAGCGTTGTGAGGTATCAGATCACTTCTCCACCACTGGACCGTTTGATCAGACAGTGCTTCTTTGCCATTTTCAGAGCTAAGGCGACAACACGACACTGTGCTATGTTATGTTGATGGGAGACAGTGCGGTTTTGTGCTCTGGTGTGTGGCTCCCACGTTGACGTTGTGTGTCGGTGGTGGGCAGACATTTTAATACGGACTCATCTCAGAGAAAGAAAAGAGGCCGGAGGGATGGTGGAGGAAGAGCGAGTTTGCAACGGGGGTCTTCCTCTCTTTCTTCTTGTCTCTTGATTTTTCTTCAAAATGTTCATTCTCTTCACTCACATTAGGAAACAGCAGTCGACACAGACCTGCCTAAGATCTATATGATATTTCCAGGATATGTAGACCAGCGCAAAGTTTTGGAGTATTAATGCAGCAGCGTGTTTTCCCTCACAACCATCATCTTTCCTTTCCTCTGGCTTCTTGTCCTGTTCCCCTCTTTCCTCTAAAAGACAGTTTTGATGTGACTCTTTCTTTGCATGTTGATCAAGTAGAATCTGGTTTTCAAAGTTTGCTACTGTGCACTTTTTATACTCACCTCCTCCAAAAGCCCCCCCATTCAGTGAGTGTTAGTCAGCAGAGGGTTTGTGGGTTCTTATCTTCGCTTCCAGAGCTTTTCACTCTGCTATAAAGGGAAAGCTTGTCTCTGTGAGCGCGCGTGCACGAGCAGTACGTCCACTGTACATCTCATGTCTCTTATAAGGACCATCGTTTCCCTCACTTGCGTCTCTTCCTTGTCTCTTAATTCTGCCAAAGTAAGCTGCGAGGAAAACGTGAGGAAACGGGGCTCCAGGAAACAAGTTATTAACGACATGAGACGTCCCTCATCTGATGAGTCCAGTCACCAACTGGTTTTTGATAAAGGGCCAGGTCAGTTTACAGAAAACCTCTGCAAAGGATATTGTCGTGTTTCCTCGGTCATGGCTCCTCTGGCACCGTCCTCAGAGCCGATATAAGAGACTTGGAACGTCGTTTGTCCTCAGTTGACCGGAGCAATGTCCAGGTCAACCGAGGATGTAGGAACAATCTTATGAGAGACATGAGATTCCCCCAGTAGAAGAATGTTTGCCATGCAGTCAGGACGTGGTGTGGCCCTGCAGTGTTAACTGTCTGTCGCTGTCTTTCCTCAGGGCACCTCAGGACCCGACCCCACGACTGTGTACGTTGATATGAGAGCGCTACGGCACGACAGGTGAGTTCAGCACAACACTGGGAAACTAATTTATTGCATGCCTGTGTCTCTGTACTGATAGAACTAAGAAGCACCTCCTGGGCTGATAGTAGAAAGTTAGAAAATAATGAGAAGCTGAAAGTTTCTTCAAGACAAGGTGATTTCAGGCTTGTCAGCTTGACGTCCGCCCGTCTCAGCCTCCCCACTTCCTGTGAAACACTTCCAGACTGAGAGACTTAAAACACCCATCACACCCAGTCTGTCACATTTCATGCTGGGCGACACCATAAATAGCAAAACTGCTGCGAGAGTTCAAAATTTGATTTGATTTGATTTATTCTTTCAAGCATGTAAAGACAGTTGCTATGTCAACACACATAATTTTACACATATCCAACAAATGCTAATCCAATACCAATTTGCTTATACCTAGAACATGCTTGAATGGAGTAGGAAGAAGTCAGACTTATCCAGTCCTACCCCATGACATCATCTTACCAT